AATAAAAAAAAATATATGTATATTATGTGTCATTTGCAAAACGCCTGTATTTGCATTACTATTATTCTTTACTTACAACTTTTTGTGTGTTAATACTTTAAAACATGGGGTTGCATGATTTATCATTTTTAATATAAAAATGAATAAAAAATCGAATTATATTATATTTACTATATTTTTAATCACAATGAATGGAAGATGGAAATCTGTCCTTATAAATAATTTTTTTCTACATTCTACGTACACTACTTTATGTTGATGCATGCAGCTTATCTTTTTACGTGCAAAATCGTCGTACGTACGCGGAACAGCGTGATCCTGCAATGTGCACCCACGTTACGCAGTTAGTTGGCTCGGCCATGCCAAGGTTGGGAACCTTATCTAAGCTTCAAGGTGTTTGACCCAACTGGGAAAACACATTGGCACTCCGGTTGGCTTTGCATCGCTACGGCTGCTCGCGACCGATCCGTTTAAAGCACTGTTCACAATTTGCTTTCCTTATCGACCGGAGCGATATAAAATGTGCGCTATAAACGCGGATTTTATTGTTCGTCGTCGCGGAGATGGAATGTCGATATTAACTCTTCTATTAACTATCGAGAAATAAAAATTGCAGTTCCTCCGTCATGTCTTAATCTTACATGAAAAAGTATTATTCGATTTTTATAAAAATTTGCTGAAACAGATAATTGCATTGAAATATAGTTTTTCACGGTTTTTCACAATTGAATTATATTTTACTTAACTTTGTTTTATTCGCATCAGACGCATAATTCTTTTTTCTTTTGAAAATGTTTTCAGTGGAAATGTATTAACTTCACAAAGTGCATCGCTGTTAGTTTATGTTAAATTCAACGATTTGTCGATCGAAAGAACGTCCGTGCTTCTTCTCGGCGACACGAATTGAATTCGCACGAGAAACGCGCAAAGATATAAATCGCCGCGCCGAATTCATTTACGAACGTAAAATATTGGATCGATCAAAACAACACACTCCCAGCCGTTCTCCGCGAAGAGTTGTCGGGAGAGGGGGGAGGGAGGGGGAGAGACCGTCAGCATTATTCTTCGCAGATCGCTGCGCGGCGCGTCGATAAGTAATTGCATCCAATTTCTCTGGAATTCGCTTTTGGGCCGAGTGCCTGCGACGATGGCATCGCGTATCCCGCTCCTTTTTCTCCTCTCGCTTGCCGAAATTTATTATCCACCGTTATTTGCCTCATCCTTCTGTGCGAATCGTCCCGAGCGGTCGCGCGACCCAAAGATTTGCAAGTTTTCCCCGCGTCTATAAACGTGCATTTTCTAACATTTTACATCTATCTCCCGCGATATTTTCAATAATTAACGAGTTGCGAAGGAAAAGCTTGTGTCCTCCCCGCAAGTGATCGATCAATCGATGTTGCTGCTGGGCATTCGTTCTTTTCTCGATTCGAATCTTTAATTCTTTGATCGTGAAATTCTCTCGCGGTCGTGCATCTCGCATCTCGATTTTATGTATATCGACGGATTACAATTTTAACTGGCCGTATCTCTTGCGAGATGTATGTATACGCCCGTTTCGTCTCGACGGGCGGGACGATTGCGGCAGCGACGCGCGATGGTATCGCATTCCAAACGAGACTCCAGATACTTTAGCCGGCGCTGTCGCGTGGCTCGGGACGACGCGTTATTTTTCTCTCATCCGTGTTTACACACGCTCCCGTGCAAACACCTTGCCGTATCGCTCTGCGCGGCGATTGGTATGCGACTGGGAAGGTCGACACTCGAGATCTGCGTATGCTGCAAACGATAAATATCTGCGACTGTGACTCCGCGTTAGCCATTAGAAGCCCGCGCGATAGAATTATTTTATTATTTTATTACAACAATGTTTATAAATTCGTATATATTCTGCTAGAATTATATTTTACAAAATTTATAAAAAAATGTAAGACGATTGTATCTGTCTGATGATTGAATTGATATGAGATTCTCTGTAGCATCCAAAACGCGAGTCTCGCGAGTTTCAATTCTCATATTAATACACTAACACGTTAAATATATATCATTAGACTATCTTGTAAAAGCATTTCGTGCTTCTACGTCTTCGTAGAATCGGCCTTACACGGTTGGAAGAATTAGTCTGGCAATGCAAAGAACGGCGGGTAATTCTCGGCGCGGTCGCCGGCACCGATTCATTGAGGGGTTTTTCTTAACCGGACTGAAATCCTTGGAAACGAGAGCGGTTATGAAAATAAAAGGCTACGGACGGTACCGTCTCTAAGAGACAGCCAGACGAAATAATACGTCTCTCTTCCTCTCTCTCTCTCTCTATCTCGGCGCTGAGAAACGAGGACACTTAAGAACCGCGGCAAGCTGCAGTCAATTTCGTAATTGCTTCTTTATCGCGATCTTCAGAGAACCGACAGAATTGCTTTATTACAGGGCTTTCAGTCAGTCTGCTTCCAATTTTCCAAGCACATGCGTCGCGTCGGCTCGCTCGCACGCGCGCCGTTCGCTTGCCTTGCGGTGGCGTGGCCCACATTTAGTGACTGCGTTTATTGTATCGCGGCCGTAAGATCGCAGGATGCATCTCGCGAATGCGATCTCTCGCAATCTCGCGCGTTCGTTTCCTCTCCCGACGCGTTATTCCCCCCGCACTAGTGGCGTATAGTGATAGGAAGATCGTTTGCTTTTACTTTAACGTTAGGCATTGCGACGAAGAACAGCTCTTGCTGTATTAAATTAAATAAAATTTATTCTAAATTTTTCATCAATTATTTATTCTAGCGTCTTAAGCATACGATACTTTTTCGTATGCACGATCTCTAGCGTCTATATGATTTTTGATAATTATTGCGATTATTCTTGGTCCGCGATAACAGCTCAGTAGTCGAAATAAAATGCGCAACGCAACGGCGATCAGTCATCAGGAATTGCTAAAAAACGATCGCAGATTAACATGAAAATTTGACGCCGGCGACGGGGACGTCGACGACGACGACGGCGACGGCGGGCGACGCGACAGGCGTCCTTGCTCCAACCGCTCGCGCTACTACCGATGACGTAATCGTCGCGATACCCCGCAATCTTGGCGCCGCGGTAAACTCGTAATATCTATTTTTATCTGTGGTGGAAGCAAGGGGCCTCCCCGAGTCCCCCGTCTTACCGGCATTCTATCTCTTTCTTTCTCTCTCTCTCTCTTTCTCTGTCTTGTGTGGACGCCGCTTTTACGCCACACACGTACCGAGCCGCAAAGAACGAGAGAAAGATAGAGAGAGAAAGAGAGAAAGGGAGCCAAGCTGAGTTGAGCCAAGCCCCGATGTCCGAGGAGACTCGAAATCGAACGACGTTTATTGCGGTCGAGATAAGAGCGTGCTTTCGGTCGTACTATTCGTGTTTTCATGTACAACGAAGTTTCTGATCTGGCATTCCGAGCGAGTTCTTGCAGTTAATGTTTGATTAGCTCGGCGAGACCGGTCATTAATCGGCTTACCAATCATCGGCAAGAGCGAGTAGCGAGAACGTGGAAGCTGTCTTCGACAGCTGTGCACTATAGGTAACGCGAAATTTGCTGACTCGAGAACACGTTTTGCGATATTAAATGTTGTGACGCAATAAAACGTAAAGGAAAGAGAGCAAAGTTAAACGGATTAATTTATGTCAAAGTATTTAGTTGGATGCTAATTTAGTATTTAAATAATAACGAACTTTTACATAACATTTCTGTAAATAAAGTTATCTATCTTTTTTCTATATTAAAAAAAAAAAAAGTTTCCATCTTTCTAATCTATAATTTGATTATATTATTTTAGACTTCAAATGGACTTGGATTCATACATTTAACATATTACAATATAAAATATAAAGATTATAATATATTATTAATTATATTAATATAAATTAATGCAATTATTGCATATGTCTATTTCTTGCAAGTCTCCACTTTAGACTTCTTCTCTCTCTTTCCTTTAAAATGAAATTTAATATAGATTTGACATTATGCAATATAATACCATCTATAATATAGAATACGATATTAAATATTAAATGAATAATAATTTGGAATATTAAAAACATTATGATAATGACGATATGATTTTCGATATTAATTCGTAAAAAAATGTATATCATTCTGGACTTATAAAACGAAATGCAATCCATATTCGATTGCTATGCGCCTTGTACGCTGTTCTCACGAATCCTTTTATACTCGCTCGACTGGACTCGTCCAGGCTGAGGGATCTGGCGCCGTCTCCGCGACGACGCCATCGGAGACGCCGTAACGGCGACAGCGTGGGACTTGCCGGCAACCGGTCCTTTGTAATACCGCCCGCAGTTTCTCTCCTCGTATAAACCTCTTTACCGGGAAGGAAGCCCTATCGTTAAGAAAGGATCTCGCTTCGGGAAGTCTTTTATCGGGCTAACATCCGGGGATGAAAACGAATTTTTGGAAAATCGAGCATTTCCACCGTGTAACACACGGAAGTACTATTGTATTAAATGTGATCAAGTGAAACACTTAGGATTACGAAAATCCGGATGTATTAGAAAGATTACGATCTTAAGGATCTCTTCTTTCGTTCGTTAAGACGAATCAGAACATTGAAGTACCGCATTCACTCTTTTTCTGGTTTTTAGTCCATATCTTTTTTTCTTTTAATATATTTCGGAGAGAAAAATTCGTCATATCTAATTTTGATACCGTGCGCCAATTATTTTCTAGGATAACAATCACAATAATGTCATTTGTAAATATATTGATGAAGAAGAGAATGATGTAATGTTTATCTTTCTTTCTTATATCCTGTCCACAGGTGAGACGGGGCAGAGGGAATGGTGCACCCTGGCGTACTGGGAACTGGGTGGTCGAGTAGGTCGTCTGTATCCCGTGGAGCCGTCGACGGTGAACGTCTTCGATTCACTCCACGACGGCGACGGCCTCTGCCTGGCAACTCTGACCGAGAATCACAATGCACCGCCCGCAGTCCAGCGTACGCGCAGCAAAATCGGCCTCGGTAAGATCTTGTCTTAAAATTTTTAATCTGTAGGGGAATTCCGTCTTTGAAGAATGCTGGTCTTCGTATTTTTTGCTTCGCTTTAAAGACTGTCCATTCATGTCACGCCTGGACTATATATATTTAATCATTAAAAAAAAATTATTTAATAAAATATAATATCATTATGTAAAATCTTTTCAATTTTTGATTATATTATGCACACAGTAGAAAGAAATATTATATATTTAAATACAAGAATATATTTTTTAATGATGTGATTTTTTCATAACAATGTAGGAGAAAAATATTTTTATCCTATATTATTTCTATCGTAAAAACAAATTGTGCAATGAAGAATTAAAAACAAAGTTACTTCCTAGTATTGGCTTGTTTATAAAATTACCTGAACGTAATGGAATGCATTTTCATGACGGATGTCTCTTTTGCATTTTCGCAGGACTAACGCTCAGCCAGGAAGCGGACGGTGTATGGGCGTACAATCGGTCAGAGAGTCCGATCTTCGTGCACTCACCCACCTTGGACGAACCGGAATCGAGGACTCTGCTGGTCTACCGGGTGCCGCCGGGTTTCTGTCTCAACATCTTCGATCGCGCCAAGATCCTGCAGCTTCCATACAACGGCGGCGGTGGCAGTGGCGGTCAGACCGCCGGATTTGTTGCTTCCGGCCCCGTCGACATTAATTCCGTCCGTATCAGCTTTGTCAAGGGCTGGGGACCCAAGTACTCGCGACAGGAAGTCACCTCTTGCCCGTGCTGGCTCGAGATACTCTTGGCGCCGTGTAGGTGATCGTCCCCCAAGCTAGCCGGGCTGAAAGGATATCGTCAAGTCTCATCCCTAACGCGTCTCTTCTTCCTCCTCGTTGTCGTCGTCGTTGTTGTTGTTGTTGTTGTGCTCGGGGAGGATCGCTGATAATGATGCGACCGTGGCCTTTAGCTCCGTCCTAACGAGAGCTGTGTTAATAATGACTAAATAAAACAAAAATAAAAACGTGCCGGGAGCGACATGCCAGCGGCATGTGCCGGGGTCGCCCCAACAACCCCAGCAGTCTTACCAAAGTACACACCGTAAAAGTAATACGTCTAGAAACAACGTCGCGTTCTGTTTCGACAGTAGAACGAGAGATAGAAACGAAGATCGGAGATCGTTCGCCGAGCGTGTTTATCGAACGCGTACGAACGGAGGAACTTACATGGACGAGTGGTACATAGGATCTTTCTTACAAAGCGTGCGTTTGATTCGATTAGTTTTTTTTTTATCCTCTCGATTGTTTAGGCCCGTTGATATTATTCTTGAGATTCATGTGAGAATTTTCGATAAGGGAAACGGAGAGTCGGGCTTCCGGTAGATCTAGTCACTTGCGTTTATGGTCTGCATGCGCCGACTCACGAAATCGCGCGCGTAGATTCTGCATTCAACATGGTAGGGAAAATTCTTAGTCTTATAAAGATGAAATATGAAGCAAAGGATAATATCGACGAAACAAAGAGGTATGTAAATAAAATGTATTTTACGATTGCTCCGTCTTTCTTTTCGAAAGTGATTATTCGAAAAGAAATCTATCGTATAATCACTTTTGTTTTATCAAATATTTGATAAAGTTTATTAAGATAATGCGATATATGTAACATATAAAGTAATGAAATATTTAGCTGCTTCTAAATAATTTTTTATAAATTATTACGAGAAAATTATTCTCTCTTTGTTATAAATTTGAGTTTCGCAAACTCGTTATATCTCCTAGAACTTATATTACTGAAAACAAAAATAAATTAATATATTTGTAATTTATTTATATAGTTATGAGAGATTAATAAGTAAAATTATAAAAAATGATTATGCGTTTAACATGCATTTAAATTAGTTCTTATAAAAATTAAATCTTTTCTACATACAATTTTTATACAAATTGTAAAAAGTAGAATATATCATTTTTTTTTTTTTTACAGTAATAAAAATATTTTAAAATAGTACTTTAATTAATAGGACAAATTATATAAATAATATAATATTATTTGATAAATGTATATTTCCGTTTAAATAAGATTGATAATTAAAATTAGGCTTAAATGCAACTTTTAAATTGACTGTAGTGCAACATCCACAAGCTCTTGGAAATTATTAGTGGGTAACAACGTGAGGGTCGAAAAAGAATTTCTTGACGAATCGTGAGAACTTTTATCAATAGGACGAATTCTTTAACTGCATTTGTATTCTGCTCTAATTGTGTTTTTTGCCATTAAAAAAGGTCCAGAGAAAATGACTGAAACTGTAATTATTTTCGTCTTGTATTTCTCGACTAATATTGCTGTATTAACTGAGCATTTAAGTTCATTTAAGCATAATTTTAATTATTTATTTGCATTATTGGTGTTGTTTTGACTATTTCAAATAAGATTATTTTTATTAATCTGAGAAACATGCTTCAGTAGCATAAGTTCTATGACAAGTCACGAGATAGAATTGGAATCGAATAATTGTTCGATTGATTAGTGTTAAAACAAACGTGCCACGAGTTCTAAATATGTTATCTCCGGTCGTCGTTCGGTGCTGTACATACGTATAGTATATGTACATACACTGTGCCTTCCCAGCTTCCCTCCGTGGTGCAGCGCGTAATTTATATAGTTATGAGATTAATAAGTAAAATTATAAAAAATGATTATGCGTTTAACATGCATTTAAATTAGTTCTTATAAAAATTAAATCTTTTCTACATACAATTTTTATACAAATTGTAAAAAGTAGAATATATCATTTTTTTTTTTTTTACAGTAATAAAAATATTTTAAAATAGTACTTTAATTAATAGGACAAATTATATAAATAATATAATATTATTTGATAAATGTATATTTCCGTTTAAATAAGATTGATAATTAAAATTAGGCTTAAATGCAACTTTTAAATTGACTGTAGTGCAACATCCACAAGCTCTTGGAAATTATTAGTGGGTAACAACGTGAGGGTCGAAAAAGAATTTTTTGACGAATTGTGAGAACTTTTATCAATAGGACGAATTCTTTAACTGCATTTGTATTCTGCTCTAATTGTGTTTTTTGCCATTAAAAAAGGTCCAGAGAAAATGACTGAAACTGTAATTATTTTCGTCTTGTATTTCTCGACTAATATTGCTGTATTAACTGAGCATTTAAGTTCATTTAAGCATAATTTTAATTATTTATTTGCATTATTGGTGTTGTTTTGACTATTTCAAATAAGATTATTTTTATTAATCTGAGAAACATGCTTCAGTAGCATAAGTTCTATGACAAGTCACGAGATAGAATTGGAATCGAATAATTGTTCGATTGATTAGTGTTAAAACAAACGTGCCACGAGTTCTAAATATGTTATCTCCGGTCGTCGTTCGGTGCTGTACATACGTATAGTATATGTACATACACTGTGCCTTCCCAGCTTCCCTCCGTGGTGCAGCGCGTATTCTCGGGAAATAAAAGTGCGCCACGTGCCAAGCTCGTTTTGCACGAAAAATATAATACCTCCTCCTCCTTCTCCAGAGCTTTGTACTACAGTAATACAATGTACTGTGATAACAGTCCGACGCAAGTCTTGTTTTTTCTTCCCTTTTTTTTACGATTGACACGTTGCGAAGACGAGAGAGAAACCATGCAGAACGAGATACGTTCACATATAATGATTAAACAGAGGAGATTCTGCACATCGGAAATGAGAGAAACGGTATCATTAATTTTGCGAGAATTATTTTCTCAACTTATCGCGTTAACTGTCAAAATGTTTCGACTAAGATGAAAAAAAGCTTCTGGGTTTTTTTTTCCCCCTCTTTAAAACACCGTTATACATATTTCTGGTTTTTGATGTGCAGGAAATTTCCTCAAAGAGATTGTACACGAAACGCGCATATATACAATATGCGAACATTTTTTTATATATACTCTGTAGATAGCAATCGATTTTTTGAAAGAAGGAAAGAGCGTACATAGTGTTCAGAACAATATGTTTAAGTACATACGATGTAATATGTACCAGTCATACGTATTCATTCACACTCTCGTACACAATACATACATGCGTACATAACACACACATACAATCGACTGATCGATCCGTAGGATTTTTTCGACTATTATATTACTTTCGTACTACCGCTTTTATCGATGTAAAAGTGGCCGTTACTTTGTAATGACGATTGAACGGATTGAGAGCTACGAGAACGTTATATTGTAATGTGTATACGCCGCTTGAATGTTATATATTAATATGTATACAGAGACGTATACACAAAAATGTTGATAGGTAGCTAACTGTGTCAGAGGGAGAGAAAGAAAGATTGAATGAGAGCGAGAATCGGGTTAGATCATCGGCGAAAATAATTGTAACGACGATAAGAGGAATTCCGCCAACAAATTATTCACTCTGAGCGACTCCGCGATTTGCTTTTCGTAGGTCCTTTTTCACTGCCCCCAACACGTTGTTGTGGTCGAGATCTATCTAACCGCCTCCTTTTGCCGCAATTAAGACCGAGCTTACCGCTGCTCATGCACTGCTTTGGAACGCGTTTAAAATGATATTACATATATACGCTGTCCGCGCGATGTAAGATGGTATTTCATGATTTACGAGACATGTCCATATCTCCTCGAAAGAATGTAAGCTATCTCGATGTCATCGTCTTGAGCTCGAGGTACTAATATTTGTCAACGATCTTCGCATCTTTCTATATATATTTTTCTCACCTTGACTTAACTAATACATCTGCAACGACATCTCTATAATGTTTTAATTTTCATTAAAGTTACAGTAATTCGAGAAAAAGATAATGATATAATAGAAATAATTCAAGAATAAAAAAAGTAACTTTAATTTTAAAATGTATATTAAAAATAACACACAATGAATAATATAATATGAGGATCAATTTAATGCTAAATATAATTTGTGTCGAGATTAGTAGATTGGTCATTGTATGTATATGTTAACACGCACAAAATGCATAATGATTTTTGCAGATATTTGTAACTCTTGCTCGTTATATCGCGTTTAAGCATTCAAAAGAGAGCGTACACGGTCGTCGCGCATTAGGAACAAAAAGGAACTTACGAAGGCGTACTAAAATTAATGGTAAGACTGTCCTACGACGTAAATACCGCTACGAGAACGACTGAATGCTTCTTCCTTGCGATGCCTCGCAATAAATGCGAGAGCGATTTCTCCTCTGTTTGAGGAATTTAAGGGAAGAAAAGATTCACTCGTTCAAAAATGCGAACAAAATACGATATAATCTCAGAGGAAACTTTTTAAAGGAAAAAGGCAGATTGACGCTCACAAAGTGCAAGAAACCCAATAGCAAACTCGCAATAATAAATTTGTTTAATAAATTATTAGAGAAGTGAAAAAAAGTAGGAAAGTACTCTGTTTAATTCATAGATCTTTTTCTGTCAGTTTTTTATATCTCTTATGAATTTAAACTTTGCGGAATTTTATTTGCGTTTGTTAAATTTAATGTGTGATTTTCGTATAATGAATTATTATAATTACAGTTTCTATATCGCTGTCAATCTTTCTGATATTCTTTATACTGTTCTGCTTTTCTTCAACTTTCTTGGAATATTCGTGGATTAAAAAATGCAGAGAAATTATAGTGGAAGATCTTTGCGTGAATTTTTTGTAGTGTCATAAAATTGTTGAAAACACGAAAGTCTACATTGAGATCTAAGTTAATTTTAAAAGGGAGCTCAGATGTGTGTGAATAATGTAATATACATCTTCGATGAAGATTTTCTCAGATAAGAAAAGCTAAATACATCTGTTGTATACATTCGTAAATTGCGTGAAACATTTTTGCATTTCGATTGAAAACATAGATTCGTATAATGCATGGATTGTCTTTTTTCACTTTACCTCTATTCGTTCTGCGTTATTTTTCCTTACATCTTCCCTTTGCGCTTCGCCATCTTCTATTTTTTTACAATCCACGTTTTCCATCTTTCATTCAAGTCTTGACGTTCTGTTTCACTTTTTTCATTCGAGACTCTTGACAGCAAACCTTTTTGTTTAAAAATGATATTCAAGAATATTTTCTTTGATTTTCAAATTATATTATTATTGTTTTTTTTTAATTCACAAGATACTTGTTTGATATAAAAATTTAAGGGAGCTCAGATGTGTGTGAATAATGTAATATACATCTTCGATGAAGATTTTCTCAGATAAGAAAAGCTAAATACATCTGTTGTATACATTCGTAAATTGCGTGAAACATTTTTGCATTTCGATTGAAAACATAGATTCGTATAATGCATGGATTGTCTTTTTTCACTTTACCTCTATTCGTTCTGCGTTATTTTTCCTTACATCTTCCCTTTGCGCTTCGCCATCTTCTATTTTTTTACAATTCACGTTTTCCATCTTTCATTCAAGTCTTGACGTTCTGTTTCACTTTTTTCATTCGAGACTCTTGACAGCAAACCTTTTTGTTTAAAAATGATATTCAAGAATATTTTCTTTGATTTTCAAATTATATTATTATTGTTTTTTTTAATTCACAAGATGCTTGTTTGATATAAAAAT